CGGCGAGGTGCACGAAAATATGCAATTCCGGTTTGCGCCTGAAGGATGCGGGGCACCGCTGTGCGAGTGCGTCGTAGAGCACGAAGCGCTTGCCGTTCGTCGACTTGGCGCCCATCCTGAAAATAGCAATTGTCCGCAAAGCCTCGTCACAGTTGTGGAGGCGGTTCGTCCCTTCGAGGATGGTTCGCTCCAGGTTGTCGCCACCGCTCAACACTTTGTTGCATTCCTCCCACACCCGCCCCTCCAGAGACCTGCGCGCGCCAGCCATGGCCCGAAGATTCGGCGCGCTCCTCCTGCGTGTCTTTTTGACACTGAGGGGCGTCAGCTTGCGGGGCCTGCCGTCCGTCTTGCTTCTGTCGTAGTAGGCTTGAATTGACGACCGCGTCTGGCCGAGACGTTCGGATCGATTCCTGCCGCTATAATATCTACCGTCGCTCAACAAGAACCACATCACTGACCCGAACCAATCCAAAGCAACGCCTTGGTCTACACGGCGCAACCAATCCATCCGAAACAAGGAAAGGTCATCCACGAAGGGTGCCGACAACAATGGCGATGGCACGCAGCCATTGCGCATGTTTCGATGACTTAATTCAGATTTGGGCAGCTGCGTCCCCCGCCATGGAGCGCCCCCCCGCGCGTCTCCAACCTCGAGGGGAAACAAATGCACGTCGCTGGCTGCCCCGCAGCGCGTCGTCGCCTTCCCCCCCACCATGAATTGTTCAAACAAATAATGGAGGAGTGGCGCGGGGGGGGGGGGGGGCGTGCGGTGGGCGCGGGGGAACTCGCGTTCAAATCGGGAGACGCGGCGCCTGATCGGGCGCGCGCGCGCGCCGCCGGCAACGGCCGCCCGCTTCGTTCCAGGCCGGGGGCCCGAAAGTGAATCTGCAGCTTGCCCAATCTCCTCTGACGCCGACGAGAACAATTTGGAGTCCCAACGGCTTGTTGGAGCGACGTTGGCGATGCGAACCTGTCGCCTGCCAGTCGGCGCCGTCGCGCCGACGCGGCGGAAATGCCCCGCGTGCCACTGCTGAAAGCGACCGTCGTTGCGCGCTTGAATCCGCGCATGGCTTTGGAAAAGCCGCCACGGGAACCCGCAAACTAGAGCTCTCACCACCCAGCCCGGGCAGATTCACCTGAACGGGTTCGACTGAATCGCTCCTGTCGGAATTGTTGGGCGCGCCATCCGTCCAGATGCCAGCGCGCAGAAGGCTCGGTGCGCCCGTCGCCGCCTGGCATCGCAACACGTGTTTTTGCGTTTGCTCCGCCCAGTCCTTTCGCATCAAAGAATTTCGAGCCATCGGGGCGCGCGCGTTTGATTGAGAACATCTCGCGAGGCAACAGAAAACGCATGTCTGAGCGCACTTCTCTGTTCAGTTTCGGATTCCACGTTCTCACGCCCGCCGCGCGCGCTTGGGGCCACTTGCGCGCCTTCGAGAAATTCCTTCGCGGATCTCCGACGACGTTCCTGCCCTTCCCGCGCCGCGCCGCGGCAGTGTTGAAATCGCCGAGCCGATCAGAGAGCAATTCGCTCAGCGGGGCCAAGAAGTGATGTCCGAATTCTCGCGCTGATTGTCTGTTCTCGAGAAATGAATCCTTGATGGCGCCGCGCAGGCGCTTCGACGGGGAACCGTCGCCCTGCCTCGCCCACGATTGGCGCTTCTCCCTTCTGAGCATGGGCGCCCCTCGAAGGCGGCCTGCAGAAGAACGGCGCTCGAGCGCAGGCGGCCGCGGATCAGTGAAACCAGCGAGCAATTGCAGCTCTGCGCGCCAGGCGCCCGGGGTGGGCGAGCGGGCGCGCCAGAGGGCCCCCCCCCTCATCAGCTGGGGGGATGATGCCCAGAACAAGCTATTTGTAGTCTCAGCGCAGCCCGACGACATGTCATCAACAACAGACTCTACGACCCGCTCTCGAAATTTCGCTCCCAACGCTTCTCCCCCTCCTTTGAAACCCGCCACGTGCGCCTCGCCGTTTTTCTCCGCAGCCTGCAGCCCCTCGGTGACCTTGAGCGCGCGGTCGTCGTCATCGGAAGCATATATCGACGAGGCCTCTGCGAGCAAAACCGCCGTGTCCTCGAGAAGCTTCGTCAGCGACGCTGCGTCGGAAGCGTCTCTTCGACGACGCCCAAGATCGGCTGAATGTCGCCGTTGCGCCAGTATTGCTCGTGTCCCCCCCCATCGGTTGTGGAGCGATTCGTTCAGCCGCGCTGTTTTGCACGCGCGCGCGCCTCGCCAGTGCCGCGCCCTCGCGTCGGCGGCCCAGCGTTCGCGGGCTTTCCGCGCTGCCACGCGCGTGCGAAAGTATTGGACGGAATGGTGTAGCACGCGTGGAGTTGTTTGTTCGCAACGCCACAGCCAGTGCAAATGTCCCTCTGCCAGCTTACGCGTGCTTGTATTTGGTTCGGGGCAAACGGCGGCGCCGCGGGTTCGTGACGAGTTTCAATTGCGCGTATCTGCGCAAAGTGGTATTCGCGCAAGGGGCGCCGCGCTGTTTGCCAAAGGGTCGGGCGACCCTTCGAACGACAGAAAAATTTGATGAATCTGTTCTGAATGCCGGTCAGAGGTGAGGAGGGAGAGTTGGGCAGAGGGCGGTCGAGAAGGGCGATGGAGAGGCGGGGGGCGACGGCGACGAGGCGCAGGAGCGCGAGGGAGCAAGGGGGGGAGGGGGTGCGCGTCGGGGTCTTTTTGTTGAGCGTTTCGGGGGCCTCTGGCTGACACTTTGGGGGCGTTTGGGGGGATTCTTGGGGGGCCTACTGGGTGCATATTGGGGGATTATTGGGTGGTGCCTGGGGGCAAAGTCGAGGCCTCTTAGGGCCTCCTGAAACCGCGGACCGTCTGGGGGCCCTATTAGGCCATGTTGGGAAATTATTGGAGAACTTTGTGGCGGCTTTGGGGCGACTTTGGCGGCATTTCGGGCCGTTTGTGGAGCGTCGGGTAGCGGAAGAGCCGAGAAAGCAGCAATTGGTCGTGTTTCCATGATTCCGAGCCAGTTCGCGATGATGCCAGGACCCGTTGCGTGTCACAAGAGCGCACTGGTCGATCCAAGGTTGTACATCCGTCTCTTTTTTTTTGTTTTCTCTCTCTCTCTCTCTCCCTCTCTCTCCTATATATACATATGTGGAGAGACAGGCAGAGGGCGATATAATGATATATCTATACATATGTATAGAGAGAGAGAGAGAGAGAGAGAGAGAGAGAAACAGAGAGAGAGAGAGAAAACAAAAAAACGAGAGACAGAGAGGGAGAGAACGAAAGAGAGAGAGAGAAAGCGAGAGAAAGAGAAAAGAGAGAGAGAGAGAGAGAGACAGAGTTTCAACACAACATATATATACATATATATATATATGCATGTACGCATTTCAATACCATATACATATATACATATATATATATATATATATATATATATATATATATCTATAGCAAGAGAGAAAAGACCGAGAGAATGAGAGAGAGAGAGAGAGAAAGAAAATGAAAGAGAGAGAGAGAGAGAAAGTGAGCGAGAGAGAGAGAGAGACAACGTGAGAACGAGGGAGAGAAATTGAGAGAGAAAACAAAACACAAAAGAAACAGATAACGATAGACAACCCGAAACAACAAAAAAACATAGATGAACGGGAGATAACGGCCAAAGCCTGGCCATGTTTCCAGTTCGCGAAGTCGCGACTCTTCTGACGTGGGCGACTGTGGGCCGTGCAATATTGCCAGGGTGTTCGGTGTATTGTTTTCCACCCGCCTGATTTTTTTATCCCTCTCCATCATCCCTTTCTGTCGTGTGTGTGTGTGTGCGTTTAAGCGTGTAAACGTGTTTGTGTGTGAATGTGTGTGTGCGCGTGCGTGCGTGAGTGTGTGCGTGTAAGCGTGTGTGTGCGTGTAAGCGTGTAAGCGTGTGCGTGTGCGTGTGCGTGTGTGTGTGTGTGCGTGGGTGTGTGTGTGCGTGGGTGTGTGTGTGTGTGTGTGTGCGTTTGCGTGAGCGTGTAAGCGTGTGTGCGTGTGTGCGCGTGTGCGTGTAAGCGTGTACGCGCGTGTGTGTGCGTGTGTGTGTGTATGTGGGTGTGCGTGTGTGTGTGTGTGTGTGTGTGCGTGTGCGTGTGCGTGTGCGTGTTCGTGTGCGTGTGCGTGTGCGTGTGCGTGTGCGTGTGCGTGTGCGTGTGCGTGCGCGTGTGTGTGTGTGTGTGTGTGCGTGTATGTGCCCCCGTCCCTGCGGGAGGGAGGGAGGTCCGCGAGGTGAAGTCCATGCGGGAGAGGGCGGGGCAGTCCACGTGTGTTCGCGTGCCCGTCGTTTCGACTGTCGCGTTCTAGCGTACGGTAGGTTTGCGTCGTGTCGACCAGCGGCGACCCCAGCGCGGACGTTCAAGGTTGAACGCCGCCGGCGACCCAGAATCGATCGATGTTGAACGATCGGACGTTGCGGCAGCGGCCGATCGTTCAAGGTTGAACGATCCCTGCGGTGTCAAAAACCAACGCTGGGGTCGGCACGACACGAACCTGCCGTAGTTCCTTACCACCCAGGCCGGTGTCGTATCTTGCTTATGGTTTGGCATGTGTCATTTGAGCCTCACTGGTGCGGACATGTTGTGGCTGTGATGGTTTCTTGAAGGTAGCCGTTTCGTTAGTTTTTTGTTGAGTTGGGCGACCATGCAAGAAGAGGTGTTGGAAGGAGTATTTGATTTGATCGGTCTTTACATGATATGTCATGGCGCAGTCTCGACACTATGCTGTGTAGACGGCGTGTCGTCGATGTCACAAGTCCGCGAGGCCGAGGGGGTCGAGCGACATCGAGAGCGATTCCAACATATACGAACGGCTGACAGCGATTGATATTGCGATTTGATGGCCGCCCCCGAACTTAGATGCGATCGCGTGAGTGCGAGCCTTCGCATTCGGAGGTCCGCGCGGACCTCCGAAGGTATATGTTCATGCCGTTTTCTGTTCACCTAAACGGTGGTGCCCGATGTTTCCCTTCCTATTTCACTGGGAGGGGTGCAGCGAGTGGCTAGGTATACCTCTCCATGGCTTTCTCGAAGCCCAAGATCGGCTCCACGTGCTTCACGTGCCAGGCAGGCGAGCCCCCGGCGAACCTGAAGGCGTGCCTCACACCGCCCTTCTCCCAACCTCCTCGTCGTCCCTCTGTCCTGCCCCTTTCTTGCACAGGCTGCGAGGGCGCCAGACAGGCGCCTGAAGCGTCAGGCACCCGCGGTTCTCCGCGGGAAAGGCTAGGGCCGTGCAACACAACGATCGCCGAGAGACGAGGGGAAGGATATACAAACTGAACATACAATAAGTTTATAAGAGGGAAGGGTGCCTGACGGAGTCCCGATCTGGGTGGCGCTCGGCTGCCACGTTCGCCACAGTCACGGGAACTCCTAATTATTGGGCTGGAGCTCGGACATCAAGATGGGGACGGACGGAGTGGGTCGAGAGGGTGTGGGTGGCACGGCCGAGCAGGGAGTGGGACCACGTCAGATTTGCCCTCCCTACCCCCGCGGCCCGATTTAACGGGAGCTCGCAGCATGCGGGATCGGAGGATGCCGCCACGCAAGTGGGCCCACCACCGCACGTGCACACAAGCCAGAGAGAGAGTAGGATAACAATGAACAACAACACCAGCATCAAGATAACACATCTGCCAACACAATTGGGGAGAAAAAACACCAACATCATGCAAGCAAGGTTCGCTCAGCAAAGCCCCTAGAATAAGGGCGCGAGAAAACAGTAGCATAAATCATGCTAATTCACAGCGCGCAAATGATCTGTCCCTCACGGTGCCCCGCCCCAAATGTCCTACGCCGAAGCCGTAGAGGACCAGTACGGGCCCACCACCAGGGGCAGACGTGGGGCGGTGCAACGTCGAGGTACAGAGTCCCTGGGGTGCAATTCTTTGCTAGATCCACAGGGTGGCCTGAGGTCTTGGAGGACTCGGATGCTTGGAACAGACCGGTGCACCCTGACTTTGGGACCATCGGCCTCAGCCAGGACCAGTTTCGACTGAGACCTCCGTCTTGGCCATTGCCGCCAAACGCACATGGAGACTCGCCAAGGCTAGCGAGCGAGATAACATAACTACGTCCCGGCCCAGCTGGCCATGCACCTGGCCACTGCGCATTCTCGGAATGAGCTCGATGGTGGCAGCGGCATCCGTTTCGTTGCTTGGCCAGCACATACCGCTGGACGGCGCCGCTGCGAAAGTACATCGAGCGGGCGGCTCTCTGGGGGAGTCTGGGCGTCGGCATGCTCTTGACCTTGCAGGCCTACCGGGTGTACATCTCCTCGGTTCTCTTGTTCGTGGGTCAATTGAAGGATCCCCCGCCGCAGCTTCAGCAAGAGGAAACCCAAGCCCTCAAGAAGATGGTCCGAGGCCCCAAGGATTGGATCACGGCAGAATGCGCTCATGAACTCAAGCCCCTCGGCTTCAACGATCAGTTCACTGACCTGCCTTCTATTCTCACGGCTTCCAAAGCCCGAGTGGTTGAGTGGGAGTCGATCGGACGTTTGCGCATTTGCCAGAGGGCCCGGAACATGCAACAGCTCTCGTGCGGGAGTACCGCAGCATCGGTTCAACGGTTTGGCTGGCTGCACTCATGGCGAGACAGCTGCTTGATCCTCACTTTGGACAGGGCCGCGGAGCGCGTCAATGCCCATCGTCGCTCCAATCCGGATGCCCCCAGTGGCACTGCAAGGAGGGCTGGCTGAAATATGCAATGGAGCAGTTGCATGGCCCAGCCCGCGTGGGCGCCCAGATTCACCTCCAGAAAAAGCTCCGGAACTGGCGGGTTGCATGTCTACTGGGCCACCGGCTGACACCGACGCTCCGCAACTTGCGGCTAGTCGGGCGACGCTGCCAGTCGCGGCTTTGGGCCGCAGTCTTTCGTATCTTATGCAACGGGTGGTGCACGCGATCGCGTTTCGGCCAAGCTGGCCCCTGCAGGTTGTGCAATGCGGGCCGGGACGGACAGCATCAGGCACTTCGCTTATTGTCTTGTTGTCCGCGCGCTACAAAACAGATTTCTGGACATTCCTCGACCCGGCCCAGGCTTCGAGCTTGACGCGCTGATGGGATTAGACGGGCACCGCCAGGGCGAGCGCGCCGTGGTCGACTGGGGCCGTCTCCGTCTACGCCTTGTGCCGCGTGCACAACGGGCGCCGCCACGGCACCCTCACGCTGCAGGACGTCAGTGGCGCCTTCGACGGCTACGTGCGAGAGGCCCGTGGGCGGCCGACTGAATAGGGCGCAGCGGGCTGTGGCTCTGAGGCGCAGGCTGCATTGTCTCGTTCGACTCCATCCGCCGCCTTCCTCTTCCCCTTCCCCTCCCTCTTTCCTTCCTGTCGTCGTCTGCTGCGTCGTCGGTCGCGTCGCGCCCTTCCCTCTCCCCTCCTCCCTCCTCCCCGGCCGCCCCGCGTGGAGCGCGGCGGGCGCGCGCTGAGCGCGGTTGCCTTGTCGACGGTCGAGGCGCGGCCTCCCTTCCCGCTCGTCTCTCGCTCTTCGTCGTCGGCTGCTGCTGCCTTCCCCCCTCCCTCCCCTTCCCCCCTCCCCCCCTCCCCCTCCTTCTTGGCGGTTTGGAGTGCGGGTGTTCTCCTGTCGGGCGCGCGCGACAGGCATGCTTTTGGCCGGAGTGCGAGCGGGGCGTCCGGCCACCTAGTTGCGGCCGAATTTCGGCCACGTTCGCAGGACAGGCCCCGTTGCAGTAGTCCTTTCTTCTTCTTTTCCCTCCTCCCCTCCCTCCCGCCCCCTCCTCTCGACGGTGTCCCAGCCTATCCGGCCGTGCAATTCCGCGGGGCCCCCCGGTGTGGCAGCGCACCGACTCCGCGACGCGAATCACGGTGTGCGACGGTTCGGTGGCCTCTGTCTCGGCCGCGTGGCCGATAGGCGTGCGCGGCAGTTTCCCTTCCTCTTGCCCCCATCCTCCCTCCTCCCCCCTCCCGCTCCTTCCAATGAGGGTGGACCGGCATATCTGGCCATGCGTTGCAGCGGGTTCTCCGATGTGGCACCGCGCCGAATCCATGACATGGCCTCCGTTGCACGTAGGTCCAGTCGCGTTTGTCCCGGCCGCGTGGCCGATACATAATAGGAGTGCACGGCGGTTGAAGAATGGTTCAATGCGACGGTCGTCGCGAGAATCCCAGTTTCCCTCCTCCCCATGTTCCTCCTCGTCCTCGCCACCGCCGCGTTTCCTCCCTTCTCCTTTCATTCGCTGGGCCGCAATATCCGGCCCAGCACCTGACGGCAGAGCGTTCCCAAAACTTGTTCGCTTCTTTTCTTCATCCTTCGCCGCCCCCTCGCTGCATGACTGCATGTGCCCAGCTAGTTTCGGTGGTGTTGGCCGCCCTGTGGTGCAGCCGAGTTCTCTTGCGGGACAGGGGGCCCGCGCTTGTCAATTCCTAGTGCATGATGCATCGTGTTAGATGGCAGGTTAATGTTGTGTTGGATTTATTAGTTTGGCCGCTTGGGCTTCCCAGCCGGGGTTATAACACAATTGCCGCGCCGATGCGTGGCCGATACGTATCCGAGGTGGTTCGTTTCATTCGCTATTTCGGTTGTGTCTTGTGGACACCTCTTCCTCCTCCCCCCCCTCTCCCTCTCCGCTTCCATGCACCGATTCCGTGTCATCTGCAGGTGCTTCGCTGCCCCAGTCCAGGGTTTTTGTTTCGGGCCTGGAGGGTAACGCGTATTTGCGTGCATTCGGCAGCTGACAGCCAGACTTTGGAAACATAGTGTGGTGGACCTTGATTGGTGTTTCGCGAGTTCCCTTCCCCTCCAAAAAATATTAGCGTGGGTAGAGACCACCACCGTCGGATGGCGGTCAGAGGTACCCAGCGTGCAAAGATCCACGTATTGACCTCAGAAATATACCCAACTCTATTGACACTCCTTGCCTCACCAATACACGCCGCACACATATGCCACGCCTGTTTCCCCACAGCCATATGAGGTGGTACGCCAACCATTCGGGCAACCTCCATCAGCAGCATCGCCTGCCTCAGCTATTCGTTCTCCAAGGTCATCTTACGTCGCTGCACATGTCCCAGTAGACTGGTTCTTCAAGGCTGCTCCCCGGATCGAAGAGGTACTCCAACATTCTGACGACCCACGAACCAAATCCATGTCTCCAATGGCGGCGACTTCACCAAGGCACAAACATCACCTTCGGCCATCGCAATCAGCATACCGTTCAGCTGTGACTGGGTGAGGGTCATCACTTCGCCATCCTCTTATGTAGCTTCGAAGTTCGTCACGCTCAGTTGCAAACCCAGAATACTATTCAACCGACCGCCAACATCATAAATCCCTGTAGAAGACGCGGTGCAACGAGGTGGCCTTTCCGAGCTGGCGTCGGACTATAGGTGGCATTATGATATCGACCTCCACATGCACATCAGGGGGTGCTGCCGGTTGCCATGGTTCTCCTTTCCTTCCTTGTTTTCCCACTCGTTCAGCCTCCTGGAACGCCTGTCGGTACTTGTATCCTTGGAGTATCATCTGCCGCTCCCTGTGAAGATCATCCCTCCAATCTGCCGCTTCGTCAGATAGCCAATCAACGTGCTTCATGAGCCACTGAGTACATGTGTTGCCAGTTTGCCGAGGATCTCGCAGTAAGTTAGGCCGATCCAACAATTTGGTTCGACGCGCCCGACACAAAAGAGTCATGAACCACCCGTTGCGGTATGTCCAGCGGCTGATGGTCCAGCGCATGTTCCTTCCGTGCTGAACGAGATTGGTGATCCATCCACATGCGCAGCATGCGCGTCGCAATTCAGCGGTGCCAACTCAGCCCCTGTCTGGCCCTGTCGCCCTGAGCTTGTTCTCCCCAGCTCTAGTCTTTAGCCGCTCGATTTTCTCGTTAATGAACAGTTTCCATGCGTGCTTCACCTCAGCACGGAACTTGGCGGGGCTGTTCTTCGCGCGGTCGGATCTTCTCCTGAGCGCTCGAGAAGCCCTGTCACCCTCCATGTCGTGCGCGGCTAGCCAAAGGAGGTCCTGCTGAATCAATCTTGCCCATGGGCCCGGCGCGTCCGCCAATTGGTCAACAAGAAATCACGGCGCGACAGGCGCGCGGACAATTAAGGACCCAAAAGACATCAGTCTCTT